AAGCTGGGTACCTGGTAAAGATGCTAACTGATCCTTTTCATTCTCAAAATGGGAGTAGCCTAGGATATGGGCTCTATGATTCTTGCCTACGTATCATCTTGTCCCCCAAGCCTGCACATTTCTCAAGATTCACCTTGTATAGCGAAATTCAAAAATGTTCCAGCTTGGTTTAGAACGCAGCACTACATTTAAAAATATTTATCCTTGTACAAAACTACTTAATGGAAACTTAAATTTTGACTGAAGATGCTATTATATTGTGTATGCTCTCAAGCCCTTAATTTTTAATATACATCACTAGTAAGATCCTCAATAAGAGAGTTTCATTGTTTATTTATAAAATATAAGATCTTAAAGACTACTATATATATAAAAATTATCTCTATCTACAGACACATTTTAAATTTTTGATATTTTTATTCTTCATTCTAACTTTTCATTCTTTAATGAATATTTTTGCAATTAAATCAAATCTGTACCTATTCTATTTTAGGATAATCTAACCACAAGTATCAAGTATTACTCTCAACTACTTGCCCAAAGAGAACTGGAAAAATATATTAAACTATGTCTCTGTAGACACTGGTACTTTGACAAAAAGGAATACTTTACATAGGCATGTTAAAAATGTAAACTATTAGAATATTATGGGAGTAAGATTTCAGATTTGGAAGATACAAAATCTGCCTCAAATTTCATATGAAATCCTATGTATGACCAGAGAACATACAACACAAACTGGTAGTGAAAAAAAATAAATATATTTTATACTACTAAGTGTTATGTGCAAATATTTTGGAATTTGCTTTATTTGCTTTTAAAAAATGTGGTGAAAAAAATGAGCTCAGCTTCCAGTGATAAGGGTTCTAACCCAGACAACAAAGAAGTCCATGGGAATCTTCCCTTGTGGTGAGATTTAAATTTGACACTGTATTAGTAAAAGGAAATTACGTTCAGAGCAAAACACCTCTGTACATATGCATGTGTGCGTGCGTGTTTGGGGGTGGGTGATGGATGGGGAATGTGTGTATATATATGAATAGGCCGTCAGACATATATAAACACACATAATTATCATTGTTAAGTAGAAGAGGGTTAGCAAGCAGTACCAGTGAAATGACTCCGCCTTTCAGACGAGGCTACTTTACTGTCATTGGGGTTTCAGATTATTACACTACCATACACGCCTTCATAAATATTGCTGACGAAGGTAATATACACGAAAGGAACATTTGTCTTTACTCCGATCGAAGATGCAATAACCAAATCATAAAACACAAAACCAATAGCCAATCCATGTGAATAAGTCTGCCCATAGGCTTAATTCAAGCAAGCCATTCACTGAGCTGTGTGATGGGCCCGTCCAATCCAATACAGCATTACAGACATACTAGCAACACCAAGTGAACATGCAATGACAAAATGACAATACGCCCCACTGCCATGCTTTGACTTGTTCCACCTCACAAATATCCAGACTTGATGACTTTGCTAGTTTCTCTTGCTTCAGACTGGGACAGAAAGCTAACAGCTATTTTTATTTGTATTTTAAAAAACATTACATGAAAGCTGAATAAAGGCTGCGTGAGCATTTTACTGACATCTGATTTAGTCTCTTTTGCACGTCCTTACAATTAGTCTTTCCAAACACTTTCAATTTAAAGTTTGGCAGGCAAGGTTCTAGAATGGTGAAGAACATATACTGACCAGTGGGTCGCCTTTTATCCATTATAAGAATGGGAAAATTGACTAAAACTATTTTGACTACTGGGAAGTTAACTATTATTTTTTTGACCGAATTCTGCAAAGAGCTTCAAATAGCTTAGTGCAATTTAGTATGATGATACACAGTATAAAAAGTCAATTTGATTTTTTTTCACTGATTATATTTCTTCATAAATAAAAAGTATTATTTTTGTTTTGTTGGTTTTGTTTTACAATCGTAAGAAATGATTGGAGAAACCTGCCAAATCTACCTTGTGGTTTTAGGAGTACAGGATTTCTCTTAACGAATGCTTAGGGGGTTGCATTGATTTGTTCCCTGAGATATCCTTGCTACCTGATTGTCCACCCTCTATCTCTTCTTTGCCTATTTCCAGCAATATTTCCAGCTGTGACAAACACGGATACCATTGCATTTCTTCACAAGGGAGCTCTCTTAGAGTGATGAATTTCCACTGACTTGGTATATTGATTCTGGAGTCCCAAATCTTTCTGTTAACCTTTAGTTTTAATTTACTAAAACAAGCCTCCAATCTAAAGATTTCATCTTTCCATCTCCTGACTTAAGAAACATGTCAAATAAGGAACACTGCCATTCTTCATATATATGAGCTGTGATCTAAAAAAAAAAGTAGCTTTTAAATTTTTTTTTTAATTGACATGAAGTAGCATTTCCTTGATATGTCACTGCTTCAATAGTACACACTCACTGGTCCTCACTTCATTATTCTGGGTATTATTTATGCATAAACAGTAAATATATCCCACGTGTAATTAAATTAAATAGGGGCTCAAATCAACACTAAATGAGAGTAGTGCATAAGGAGATGTGGAATCTTCAATGTTGTCAGAGGACAGCAGACGATTCTTACATCGAGAAGAAAAGATACAAGCACTTGTACTGAACTGTATTTCAGCACTTTCGATATTGGCAATTCACAAAAGTTGCTGTATTAAAATCATTTAGAAATGAATGACGAGTCAATCAAATTAAGCAAACTGTAGTTGTGAGCAATCAGAAGTATCCATGTTTGCACATAGTTTCCCATATGCAAAGAAATGTTTGAGCAGATTGTTATTTGGTTCGTTCCCTATGCTAGTTTTAGGATTCTACCGTCAAGAAATTCAGTTACAATATTCGTAATTAAGACAAGAAACCATATTCATTTGGGGGAAGCAGATGAAAGATGAGGGTTAACCACATTTAAAAAGAGAAGCTAAATTAAAAAATTCCAGAAGATATAAAGTTCATTTAAGATATTTAAAATTATGCAAGCAAAGACAGGTTATTACAATTCTAATTATACACAAAGTGTATCTGAAAATTAGACATTTTTTTCAAAAAAATAATTAAGGGTTGTAACAACTGCATTACTACTGATGCCATCTCAAGCTTCCTCTGCAGCATTTAAAAGCACTCTCTTCTTAGACAAATCCTTCTCTTTTTTTGTCAGCGCATCTCTTAGTGATGTTGATTCTCTACCCATAGCAGCACATGTGACCGACTGATGTTTTAAATCACAGCATTTAATTTGTTTTATGAGAAGGTACATTAATTCATAATTAAAGCATTTAAAAGTCATTCTGACATTGTTCACCTTCTTTATGTAACATATAGGTTTTCAGAAATTCATTTATTCATAGGAATAAACACCCTACAAAGTGATCCAGGGACACCTGAACGGTATCTGGCAAAAAAATGACTACTCGCAGGAGGTTATTTTTATAATTTTGTCCTTTCCGTTTATAAGGTTTTTTAGAAGCAGGAATTAGAAGCTCACAGAAAAATACCTGAGCTGCGACATGCTAACACACCTTTGTGGAAATGAAATGAAACTACTGAGCAGCACTTCACCTTTGCTGGTTACCCTAAGTAGAAACAGTACATTGTGAATGACGTGCACACAGCACGTATCTAGTTGATATTTACTGGTCCAAAATGAATAGAAAGTAACTTGCTTACCTGTCTGAACACAGCATGCCTCAGCCATACATGCAAATTATTTTATTCACATAACTTTAAAAAAATATATCTTCATTACCCAGAATAAGCATTTGAAAGGCAAATATGCATGCATAGCATCGTAACATTCATACCATGGTACTTTGTTCTAAAAATACAGAATCCATGAACAGCACTTCAATCTAAGAAAGAGTTCACTGAAATTTCTTAATCTGTTGATTTGTTTAAGGAACAGGAACATTTAAAACAATGTCTGCTTTAGCATCTAAAGAATTGTTTTCAATACGTGTACAAGACTTAAGAAATCATCTCCATGATTCCGAGGGAAGATTTTCTTGTATCAGGAATTGAGAAGTGTGGCCTTACTTCTCGCAGCTGTTGAGTAGCAAAATGTATGCATGGATCTGTCTTTCACAATATACATCCTCCCTTTAAAACTCTTCAAGTACTTGAAAAGTATTAGACAGCATGGATTTTGTTAAGGGTACAGTTCATGAAGAAAACAGAGGACTTTTTTTTTCTGAAAAAAAAAAAATCATGTCCACATACTGCAAAGACTTGGTTTTATGCAATTTGACAAA